ACGCCGGGTTCCTCGGTACCGGAGTCGGGTGGAGTGTGGAAGGGAACCCCAAGAGCATCAAGCCAGCAAGAACCGATCAAGACCAGGGGCAGTCGAGCAGACCGAGTTCGGACATGACTGGGGGCAGGTAGTCAACCCCACACATGAGGCTCCCGCTCAGGCCAGGTTTGCTCTGGGTCAGGGACGAGCCTTTGACCCCCTCTCGTAAGTCGAATTAGCGAGCGCACCCAGGCGTACCAAACTCTATTCAAATACTGGATCCGGAAGTTTGCCCCCCCACCCGCAAGGCCAACAACCCAAGTTTACAACTAGCAAGCGGCCGATCCTGCTTGTGGGTCGAATGCGTACATGAGCGTACCAACAGACCCAATCTCGATAGAGACCCAGGGACCCGCAATCCAAAGGCTACAGACCAAGGCGGTTACCCCCCCCCTCCTTCGGCCAAATGCAGAAAACAATAGAAGCAAACCAGCATATCGAGCCAGAAAACAGCGAGCGCATACCAAATTGGATCGAGAACCAGGAGCCTGCAATTTCTTTTCCTAGTGAGAGATACCGAACAAATATGTTTGTGACTGGCGGTTAACCCGGACCTTGAGCCAAATGCAGAACACAGCAAAAGCGAAACAACATACCGAACCAGAAAACTGGAAGCACATACCAAATTAGATCGAGAACCAGGAGCCTGCAATTTCTTTTCCTAGTGAGANAGCAAAAGCGAAACAACATACCGAACCAGAAAACTGGAAGCACATACCAAATTAGATCGAGAACCAGGAGCCTGCAATTTCTTTTCCTAGTGAGATATACCGAACAAATATCTTCGTGACTGGCGGTTAACCCGGACCTTGAGCCAAATGTAGAACACAGCAAAAGCGAAACAGCATACCGAACCAGGAAACTGCAAGCACATACCAAATTGGATCGAGAACCAGGAGACTGCAATTTCTTTTCCTAGTGAGAGATACCGAACAAATCTGTTCGTGACTGGTGGTTAACCCGGACCCTTAGCCAAGTGCGGAACACAAAAGCGAAACAGCATACCGAACCAGAAAACTGCGCGCACTTACCAAATTGGATCTAGAGAAAGGAGCCAGCAATTTACTTTACCAGTGAGAGATATCGACCAAGTCTGTTCGTGACCGGCGGTTAACTCCGCCCGTAGGCTGGGTGCAGAGGACAGCTAGAGCGAACTAGCTTACCGAGCTCGACCGAGAAACAAAATCCCGCAATTTTTTTGAGAACGGCTAGAGCATACTAGCTCGCCGAACCGAAAACAACGAGCTTATCTGCTTGTCAAGCTCGATCGGGAACCAAGAACCCGCCGTTGGCCCGCTCTGGAACAAAGGGATTTACCTTTCTTAGCAAGAGTGGCTCATCTAATTAGAATCCGCTCGAGCAGTGAGTCCCGAGCGACAGAGGATGGGAACGGGCTCTGTAGCTCGGCCCGAGTTACTCTCTCTTTTCTCTCTTTCTCCCTTCCTCGTCTGTTCCCTCTCTCTCTCTCTTCTTCGCTCTCCCTCTCTCTTTTATTCTCTCTCTCTTTTCTATCGCTCTTTTCTTTCTTTTTCCGTCTCCCTCTCTTTCTCTCTCTCTCCTTGCCTTCGCCGCCTAGTGTCGAACTCCTAGCAGATACCGCGTGAGTCCTCCAAGCATGCCCAGACTCTTGGTTCCGCAACCGCAAAGTCCGCACGAAGTAGTGTCCTTGCCATGAAGCGAGCCGCTCGAGGCTCTGGCCGACCACGGGGGACGACTGTCTCTTAAGACTCGCGGCGCGGCCGAAAGTCACCCTACCGCAAAAGAAAGATGAAGTCCTACGGCTGGTTCGTACATGTAGTAGGAGAACTCGGGTCGCACAGAGTTCCTTCGTGATCTGGTTTCCGGCCTCATTTGCGAGCAAGGCGCTCTTTTCCTTTCGTTCTTCTCGCAGGCGACGCTGCTCCCCTTCTCTCTCTCTCTCTCTCTCTCTCTCTCTCTCTCTCTCTCTCTCTCTCTCTCTCTCTCTCTCTCTCTCTCTCTCTCTCTCTCTCTCTCTCTCTCTCTCTCTCTCTCTCTCTCTCTCTCTCTCTCTCTCTCTCTCTCTCTCTCTCTCTCTCGTTCCTCCGGGCTCCTTTCTCTCGCTCTCGACCCACGCCCGTTTTCTCCCCCGCTCTCTTCCTCTCACCCTTCGAGTAAAAGGTCGTGTCGATTCCTCGTGCGTGGGGTTCACTCGCCCTTCTGCTCCCTCACGCCGGGCGCTCACAATGCGACCTCGACATGTCGCTTCTCCAAGATGGCCCTGGCCTGTGCGCTCTCGGGTCGCATCTCCGTCTGGTGGCAGACTCCCACCGAGCACTGTTCCTTCCTTCGCACTCGGGCGCCGCTCTCGTACTGCTCCCCCCCCCCCTTGATGCCCAAGCACAACCGACTTCCTTGAGCGCAGACGATAGCTCAGCGTTTCTCATGCGCTGCTACGTGCGGCCTCTGCCTCCCCTTCTCTCGCCTTCTCTTCCTTCCTCTCTCTATCAGCCTTCTCTTCGCTCCTCGTGCGCGAAGCCCCAGCCTGCGTTCCTGCCCTGGCTCCTAGAGCCACCAGCAACTCCCGTGCTCTCCGCCAGAATCCTTAACTCCTATCTGCAATGAGCTCCTCTGCCCTCGCCCTCTCGCCCGCTTCTCGGTCCCTGCCCCGCTGGCCCGGGGCCAAGCGCCGTCGAACGCAATAGCGCGAATTTCGCTGCTGCCGAGCTCTACCGTGCGCTTCTATCCACGTGCGCTCTCCTCATCTCCCTAAAAACACCCGACGCCACCCCTTTTATATCCTTCTTTCCCCAATTCCCCGATCCTCGCTCTTCTCTCTCTTCCAATCACTTTCCTTGGCCAGCACCACGATACTTCCCTCCGTTTTCCCAAATATTTCACTTCCGCTAAAATTTTTCCTACATTCTTTCGGAATTCTCGCCTTTAATTTCACCCGCTTCTCTCTGATCCCGCTTTCACCCATCCTTCATCTGCGCCTCTCTTCCAAATCCCCCTTTGCCTCCGTTTTAGCTAACGGCTATTTTTCTTTATTCCATCTCAGGACCTCCGAATTCGATTATCAAAAACATCAAGGGCGCGCACTTCCCTGAAAGCACATTCGCATGCGTCCCTTCCTCAAATATTTTACTCCCTCCGAAATTTTTTTCTTCCTTTCTCCAAATTCCTGCCTCTGAATTCTCTTTCTTTCGCCTCACATCCAGATCCCTTGTCGCCTCCGCTTTAGCCAATTGCCACTCTTCTCCAACCTTTCTTTAGATCAGCACTTCCCCTCCGAATTTGGTCATCAAGAACGGCGAGGGCGCGCAGCGCTTTCGCATGAGCCCCCCCACTTTCTTGCCCCAACTGTTTCCGGACACCTCCCGTCCTTGCTCACCCCGTCGTCTCGCATTCCCTGGTGGCTAGGAACCTGCATCCGGCTCCCGTTCTGCTACCTGTTCAGAGCCCCCCCCGCATTTTTCTCCTCAGTAAAGGGGGGAGTCCGACGGTCCGATGCCCAGCTCGATGTAGGTAGTTGGAGTTAGTACTCAGTACCCCGGCGCTTCGTCACACTTGGTCGCCTCCTCGGATTCGACCTTGCCAGAGTTCTGAGGGACCCTCCATGTGAGTTCGATTTTGTGCGGCAGCCGCGTCGGGATTGTGTCGGCCGACAAAGGTTGTGGCTTTTCACCCGTCCTCCCGGCACTGCAGTCCTGACCAGGGCCAAACAAATCACGTCACGCACACCCGCGGTAGCCCGATAGCTATTTATAGCCGAGGCCTGGGGCCTTCACCGGCCCTCCACTCTTGACCCAGCCAAGGTCCTCTCAGAAGAACAACGTCCGTCCCTCGTGCTCTTCTTTTGACATCAAAACTCCAACCTTTCAGGATCCGCCCGAGCCAGTTCGCGACCTTGGTTCGGATCGGCCCCCCAGCCAAACAAAGGGTTAGAACGAAGATCCGAATGCCCACAAGCAATCGAGAACACCATATCCACATGCAAACATACTTCAGAATCACGCAAAAACCAGCAAAAAGAAAAAAAATATTGTTCATCTTGAAAAGGGAAAGTCGTCGGCGGGTAGGCAGCCACCCGACAACGGCAATGCATACTCCAAGGGGATTGATTCACATAATGAGAAAGACTGTGTTGTGCGATGTTGCGCTGACCGTCGCGGTGGTGTCACGTCGCCGTCTCCGCCAAACCAAGGGCCACCTCGCGTAGTTTGCCAACACGAAAAATTGTGGGCGTGGCAGACACCATTGGGCTCGTAATCATATCGGCGATATCGCCTCCTGCCACGTCAAACCCGTCTGATCCACGCTCCATGACAACATGCCGTTGTGGCTTGGGCGGTGACACATGGGGTAGACCTGGGGATATCAACACTGACAAGTCCGGTAGAGAAACAAGCGCAAAGTCCATGGTCAGTAACTCGCCGGTACCCGGAAGACTGCCGGTGGGGCATGCGAGGCCGACATGGTCTGCGGCGCTCTGCTCGGCTGCGGGAGTGTGTGAGATATCACGTTCCGGGAGATGGTCGCCTTGACACACAACAATGGTCCCTTGACTCCCCTCCATCAATGCAGGTGGTGGCCGCGGTTGAACACTGCGAGGTGGGAGCATACTTTCTTGCTCCGCTGCTGCCAATGGTTGTCCCACATCCGAGGTCGCTGCAACTGAGACTGCCGCTCCGGCAGACGTGAGTGGATGCAGTGCACCGACAGAACTCTCGTCCCGCACTGCCGGGAGAGGACTGATCTCTCCCTGAACCTCGGGATGACGCATCAACGGTGCTGGACCCTGTTGCGATTCTGGGACTGCTGCGGAAGGCCCCATCGGAGCTGTCGCGTGCATACTCGAAGTGTTACCTCGTGGATGACCGCTCCCGCCATGCAGCTCGATCCGCTCCTCGCCGCCGTGATCGCTGAAAGAGTCCTCAGAAATTGGAATCTGCCCAGTTGCGGGGACTCGTGATAGTGGAATGCTAGCAACCCCACCATGACGTTTGCGCACACGTGAAGCGATAGTGTCTTTTTCCCTTGGTCYGCRTTTCAAGCGCCTCAGGTYACYGYYCGAGACAGGTCGTGAACCATCATCATGCACTCCATCTCGAGCGTCATCTACTGCTGTGCGGTGCTCGCCCCCTGCCCCGTCGGCGCGCATCGTGTCACTAGTGCAGGTCGTGGCCTATCTCCTCCATCACCGTGATCATCGCCACTGGCGCCTTAGTCGTCGCCCACGTTTGGGTGACGGTCGTCGAAATCGTTGTCGCCATCCTGTGCAGGCCTGCCAGTCCCGAAGAAATCCTCGTCATCGCTGGACGAGCTCTCGTGCAAAAAGTCTCCCTCATCCCATCGCTGTCGAGGCTTGCGTACTAACTCGTCCACTGCCCTTCCACGACTCGCGACACTACGCCTCCCGCCAGGACCTCCACGCCCGCCTCGCCCGCGACCGCCCTGACGACCACCTCCGCGACCGCCGCCACGACACCTCCWCYTGTYAKACTCCCRCAAGCGACGAGTGRCTCCCATGCGGGACACRACGCGCATCCTCTCTCTCGCCTGCGTCAACTCCTCCTTSGTGACCGTCACACGGGCTCCTCGGTCTGCCACAAGCTGCTSGTCGGTRGGCAMCTCCTCCTCCAYCTGCTGCYAGTAGTGCAYYCAGCTCCCATACGGATGTGGCCTGTCACTGGGAGCATCGTCCGACATAGCCTGCCTGTCGAGGAGCTGAAGGTTCCAATGGCATCGCACGAGCTTCTCGGCCCRYGCCACCTCCAATCTGTTACGAGATTTGGAGTGGATGAAACTCCAACGGGACYAAGCTCTCTCGCAAGGCGACGCAGTCGCCCACACACGCAGTATCCTGCCAGCGAAGAAGGCCGTGTGCGGGAACCTCTTCTCCTTCGACTCCCAGAAACAGGCTGGATGGGTATAGCTCCTCGCCGCCCGGTCCATGGCCACGTCGTCGAACGGCGGCTCCCTGGAATGGAACTTRTCAATGGCAGTGAGRACCTCGTTGTGCYGATCCGAATGTTCCGGGTACCCAAACTGAATCAGAGCGAGTTTCAAACTGTGCTGCATCTCCTCGTCATCTGGCATCGTGCGGTCTCGAAACTCGGGGTCCAACATCATGGCAGCAACATGAGCAGGCGACTTGAACATGGTGCGGCGTCTGTCAAACACTTCAAGCAGCGCGTCCTGCTCGTCCTTCTCCAAAGCGGCATATGCAGACAAACAACGCGTGATCATCTCGTTGTACCGACGCAGAATCTTGCCAATCTGCCTCGTGTCGCTATCCACCATCTGCAGCATGTCCAAGATGGGATCCAACAACTTGCACAACGTTCTCATATCCTTCCACCATTGAGGACAACCGACACATGCTTTGACCTCCGCGGCGTCGTCTCAAATCTTCTTCGTTGACCAAACAGTGTYCTTCCATCGATCATCAACGACTACCTACATAAGATGCGATTGCAGTAGAAGAAGTCGTTGCATCATAATCACATGCGTACCGAAGCGAGTCTCGGCGGGAAGCAGCAGAGCCTTCTTCGTGAAATCTTGCAAAACTTCGCGAGCGTGGCTATGACGCTTGAATGACGTGTGCCACACAAGGAATCCAGAAGATGTGCTTGATACTCTCATCCTTCTGGAACACCTCCATCGCTGAAACGTTCGAACTGGCAAAGTCTGTGACGAAATCGGTGATGTCGGCGAGCTTGATGTCAAGGGACTTCAACCTTCGCAGCCAAGCCTTCGCCAGAGCAGTGGCATCCTTATTTCCTCGCATAACATCTGTTGCGACGTATGTGGCGCCTCGTGTTGTGCAGACGAGATAGTTGCACAACGTTTGGCCCCGAATGTTGGTCCAACCGTCTGTCATTATCGTGCAACCGTAGGTAGCTGCAGTAGCGRGGACAGGTTTCACACACTTTTGGACTTCCACATCAAGCTCATCCAAAAGTGTGGTACRGATCATGTGATACGTTGGGGGTTTTGGGGTGGGGACTCCTGGAACCCCAGACGGGATGATCAACGTCAACATGCGTTTGAAGCTCTCAAGCTTCACACAGTTGAACGGCATGCCACTCTCGACAATGAATCGTATGATCTGCAGGTGCCATGCGTGCTCTAGCGGATCGTTGTAATACGAGGTCACCGCCTGCTGCCTGTAAGTGCCCCTCACTCGTGCACCGGCGCCCATACCTAGCGAATCCCACACCCCGCCCCCGGCCGCAGGTGATGCGGTGGGGCCTGGACTCGAAGCTGCAATGTTGCGCAGATTCTGTAAAGGATCCAGTGTCCCAAAAACACCGTGCTGCGAGGTCGTGGCGTTCATGGGCACAGGAGAAGGTGACGAATCCGAAACCTGGACGGGCTCCTCGAGCTGGACGTTTCCTGCACCCTCAGTGGCCGTTGCAGCGGCCTCGCCAACAGGTGCCGAAGTCAAGTCTGGTGTAGGCCGTCGTGTTTGCGAAGGAGGGGGAGGCAACCATGAATACGCAGCGGATTGATGTCCTGTTGCGGGTGCTCCTGCCACRGCCGGACGTGTRTCTGTGCGTCGAACTCTTGGGACCTTGTCCCTGTTGCCAGTGAACAACGGGGCGAGGCCTGATGATGTGTCAGCGTCCTTCCCCCACCCACCGCCCTCTACGAAAGCACGAGTGTCTTGCTCGTCGAACGGCACAACTTCCCCGACACATGAAACTGGCACGGTGCCTTGCGCATCAGGCTGCGTTGCCACAGATGGTCTGCCATCAACGGATGCGGGAATCGTCTGACGAAGCGGACGAGGGGGGAGGGGAGCAAGTGGTGCACATGGAGATGGCGCCACTTGCGAGGGGGCGGCGGTCGACGGGGGCGGCGGAACGACGTCATCGGAAAAACGAAGAGGTGACCATTGAAAAGAGGGATGACCTAGAGAGAGACTCTGCAAGGCCTGCACGGCAGAAGCCAAATGTGCATGACACTTGGACATATCCTTTGACCAAATCGCGTATCACACCGCCACGAAAAAAGTGTTCCTTCGCCTCACGAGCACCCCCACATAGAGAACGACCGCATAACCTGCACAAACAACGCCGACCGTTCTTCCTCCCGACCGCAGTGGATCCATCTAAATAACGACCACGAGCAACGAAATGCCAAACAGGATCATCTCGTTTTCCATCCGCCTTTGGATCCACTTTAAAAGAAGGGTCAAAGGTCTTCGTGTTGTGACCTTTTCTACTACCCTCCGCCTTTTTCCCCGTTGCCGAGTAGGACTCCGCGGGGCCCTTCCCGTTATTGCCTCGAGGGTCAGACATGTTGTGGAGACCGAATGAAATCCGCAGAAGGGGTGAACTGAAACGAACTTCGACGCCAACGACAAAGAACTGCACCGAAGTTACTGAACAACCGACGAATCAACCTGTAAAAGATGGACAGTGACAGAAACGAACACAAGTTCCACAACAACCACAGCGACAAACAAGA